ATTCACAATGCTATGATTATTTTTGGTCTTTGAAGCCTGATACCTGATCCCTTCAATGCCTCGTGATCGCACAGGCTGGTGTGCTTCTTCCATGTGGGCCTTGTTGTTTCTCAGCTAGATGGCCGCTTGTTTATTTGCAGGCCTTTAAGATATCTTTTGATAGCCGGGCACCATCAGCTTTCTTCACCACATTTGCTTGTGCACTCATTTGTCTTTAGCAATCACAAGGCAACTTTATTGATAGTAACATTTATTTTAGTCAGTGGTAAAACTGTTAAGCTAAGGATTTTATACACGTGTAAGACTTCTTATCAGACTCCAATACATGAATTGTTAACATATTTTCAAAATGTGGGTGACTGGCCACTGGTTATGCATGTCGTGAGGGTTGGAGACATGACATCCACCTGGTTTTTAAATCCCCATTCACCGAGCCTGCTTTGTAAAAGCTGTGCTAAACAAGCTCTTCTTCCCATGTTCTAAGCACACGCTTCCACTTTTATGGCAAGGAGAACTTATAAAATGCCAACCGAACTCATTAGAATATAAATATCAGGAAGTACCAGGGTTATATTTTGATGGATGAGCACAAAACAGTAATGGAACGCTCAAATCAAATGTTTCTTAAACTGTAACTTTATTGGGCAGGGCAAGAGAGTTTTGGGTTTTTTTTTACATAAAGTTCATGTTCTGAAACACCTTAAGACAAACAGTTTTTTTTTAAAGAAAAGCATTTTATTTTAGAAAGATCTTACTTAAAGAATTTTCTGTCTTTCTAGCTTCTCATTATGATGAGTATTTGCTTTACAAATAAATATGCTCTGAGTAATTCGTTGTCATCTGGTGACTAAATTGCTCTCCAAGATCTCTGAAAGCAGAAGACTTTGCTGGGGTCACTTTACATTCACAGGAGCGCAGTGTCTATTAAGAAACTGATAATACAGATTAATGTGATATTTGCCTCCAGGTTGTCTTCTTAATGGTTCCCACACGAAAGTTCTCATAATAAATTATATAAAAGTATAGTACATTTGGTTGACAAGTGTAAAAATCATTCTAAAGCCTTTTAAACATTAACATTGATTAAACAAACAAGTCGCTACAGCATGCTTTCAAGGGCACAAAACATTTGCCTGTCCAACCTTTCCTCATAAAACGTATTGCTTTTGGTCATCCATTGAGCTTAACATACAGCCCACATAGCCTTTTCTTCCTTCTCTCCCCTACCTGGCACAAAGCACTGGCCCCATCAGAAGGACATGCTGCCCCAAGGGAAAACCCAGTGGTCCATGACTCCAAGATCACCCACATTTGCACTTAAACACACTCACGCTTCCTGTTTGCTTTGACAGGGGTTGCTTTGATTGTGGCCATTTTTCTACCTCTAGGAGAGAGGACATAGTGTCGCCCCAGGTAGTAGATGTCCACCATCCTGTAGGCAGAGAGATGTCTAGGAAATGGGTTGGAAATCAAATGTCTTCCAACATAAATCCCATTTAAAGCAGCTGGGTGGGGGCTTGGGTACTTAACTGAATTTATTGTAAAACAAATGCGCCTGAAAGAGCTTTTATGGACATGTGGCTTCCCTACTGTGCATGGTGTATGTAGTGAGAGCCCCGATATGGTCATAGAAGGACAGTCACCACTCACCACACCTGTTGTCTTCCATTTCAGGTAAACATAAGTCCATTGTCCTTATAAATCTACACTATGTGGGGAGCAGCATTTTATTTTGAACTAACAGGAAAGGGTCATGGCTCCCCTCTGTGGCTCAGAGCTGGAATATACTACTGTCCTTTCGCAGCTGGGGCAAGAGAATGGACCACTTTCTACGATTTTGCTAGTTCTTTAGATTTCAGGTCCGCAGCCCTGCTCTGCTCCTGCACGTTTGCAAGGAGGAACAAGTTTGGCTTCCCAAGGGAAGGTGTTTGCTGGTGAACAAAGGAAAGTGCCCAGCAAGTTGGGTGTTACCAAAGTATTAGAAAAAGAATCTCATGGCGTATGAGAGCTAGATAACTAGGCTTTTCCATGAAAAACAAAAACAAAAAGCAAACCTGAACATAAGCCAGAGTACTAAGAAGATGGTCCTCACAATCCCATTTCTTTCCCTAGGAGGGACTTACCATCGGAGACCAGCTTTCCAAAAGGCCAGGTTTCCGAGAAGCTTGCTTTGTATATGGAATACAGAAAGGAAAATAAATATTAACTTCATAGGAAAGGAAGAACTCCTATCTCTGAAAACACACTGCTGTTGCTGTTGACAATGAGTTGAGAATACAGGACAGAAACAAACTCAGTTCAAGTTGGGCTTCCATGCACACGTGCTAGCTTCCTAAGTGGTGCCGCCGGGCTGTTAACAGGAAAACCTTATCCATCTAATCCACATCCAGGATGGGATGCACCGTTCTCCCGCCCCTAAGGGCCAGAGCTGCTTAGTTGAGATTTGGGGACCAGATTCTCAAAAGCCTAAACTCCCCACTGATGCTAGGTTTGGGCCCAATTGCTGCAATGTACCGAGTATTAATACCCCAACACAGGAAAATACCGACTTATTAGGTTGAACCTTATGAAGCTGCCAATATTTATGTTAGCCAATCATAGGAAGGTATCAAAAAGGCTGGTTTTTTAGGGTTCAGCTTGCTGTATCCTGGAACTTGGTGAGCCCTGGGAGAAGGTGAGTCTCTGCACAGCTGAAACCACCAGGTGGCCGGTGAGCAGAAGCAAATGTGTGGTTCACAAATGGATGAGAGTGGACCTTCTCTTGTGTCTCCTCCTGTCTCCAAACTAGCTTTGTCATGTTCCCAACTGTGGTCAACATTCCTGTCAACGGAGCAGCCTCTGCCCAAGATAACTTCTTGTTTTTCCAAGTGGCTGAAAGAAACGACTGAAGGGTTGAGCTTCCATGTGGCGCTATGGATAGGAATGCGCTTTAGCTGTGGCTTCCAGAGAAGCTACAAGTCAGCCCCTCCCCTGCCTGCCCCCCAGATTGCCCTGAGATTTGACTAGGACAAAAAATTATTCACTGTCAGCTCTGCCCTGGGTCTGGCGACCTGACCTACGTGCACAATCCCCTTTCTAATCATGAAATACCTGCTTTCAGACTCAGCCTCCTGCTCATGCAGCCTGGCGGGACGTGGGGGGGAATGTAACGGAATAGGCTTACCTTTTGGCTGAGACCCTTGTGACTTGAAAAAGCGCGCGCGTGTCTGTGTGTGTGCGCGTGCGCGAGCGCCTAAAAAGTTGATTCAAGACATGAAGGGGAAAAACATATGATGACATCAAACCCACTGCCTTGGGGTTGATTCTGTCTCAGAGCGACCTTGAAATGGGGGTTCCCGGGCTGTCAATCTTCGCAGGAGCTGACAGCCTGAACTTTCTCCCTGTGCTCAAAGTTGCCACTGCTTGCCCATCTCCAACCGTCTTAATGGTTGCAACCATTTTGTAAACAATTTTAAGTATTTAGCATTCCTTTACCAGAGAAATAACCACAATGAACAAATGACCCAACAGCCAATACTTTCAGAAGAGTACAGATGTCAAAATTTTTAAAAAAGACATGACACGACAGGAAGAAGAGCAGGCCATCACTGCCCTAGAGCCAACAGCAGCCCATGAAAGCCCACAGTACCTAATGCGCCCCGTGGAAGATCCAACCATCACTTCACCCACATCTACGTGAGTCACCCCCTTGGTCCTACAAGCCTCCAGTGCACCCCTGTTGTAATACTGCATCAATTTCTTGATAGGGTTTTTCTTAATCTGTATAAAATATTATCTGGAACCCCAAAGGAAAATCAATTAATCTTTTAAAAACCCATTACAAAGTTGGCTGTAGAAAATGCTAACATAATCCGTATGTACAAAATGCCGCTGCTTAAGAAAATAACTCAGTTTTAGAACAAAATAATTTTGTACCAAAAGAGAGTACTGCCCTCAAATCAATATTAAAAAGAAACAAAGAAAACGTTTTAAAAAGAGGATTGGAATGTCTCCATTCAGAAGATCACGAGCAAGTGTTCTGCCATCCTCCCGTTCCTTGCAGGTAGAATGCCGCCGCCGGGAACAGAGAGGGGACGGTGTCCGGCTGTCCTCTAGCAGGGGCCTCCGGCTAGTCATCGCCGCGACGGGTACTTGGAAGCCCAGTCCGTGCGGCCGTGCACCGGCTGGGCAGCCGGCGGCCGGGGCAGCAGCCCAGGAGTGCTTCGAGGCTGAGTGTGGAAGAAGGGCCGCCCCCCGGGATGAGGCCTCACAGTCTTCAGAGAGGAATAACCTACACAGGACAGAGAACGGGTGACCAGAAGGACAGAGCACCCAGGTCAGCACACCGGGCTGGGTAACTCATGTCAAACAACCTGCTGCTCTGTGCTGCGTCGAGAATGAAAAACAGCCAGTGCACATCCCCTTACAGAGGGGTCTCAGGAACGAGACAAGCCAGTCACGGTGCAGTGCAGCAACGATAAAAAGTACAACTTTCCTCTAGTTCCTAAATGCTTCCTTCCTCCCCCCACTACCATGATCCAAATTCTACCTTACAAATCTGGCTAGACCAGAGGATGTACACTGGTACAGATAGGAACTGGAAACACAGGGAATCCAGGGTAGATGATCCCTTCAGGACCAGTGGTGAGAGTGGTGATACTGGGAGGGTGGAGGTAGAAAGAGGGAACAGATTATAAGGATCTACATATAACCTGCTTCCTCCATAAAATTATTTTAAAAAACAAACAAACAGCCAATGCTTAATAAATGGGTACAGTGCTGTCAGAGACTGTAAGTATGCAGTTTCTAATCTTCATAATAACCTTGCTAGGTAGGAATTATCCCCACTTCACAGATCAAGACCCTGAGGCCCAGGGAGAGTGGAAGTACAGGTAGACTTAACGTTACTCAGCTTTCAAGTGTCAGAATTTCCCAATAAAGGGAGGAATATTATGTCTTCAAATGGGAGCCTTCAAATGGGGAAGGATTAGGAAAGTGAATTTCCAGTGTAAAGGAATTCTGCAGTAATCTTCTGACAGAAAAAGGAATTTCCCAGATCTGGCAGTGAGAAAGTGGAACAGCAATCTCTCATTGTATCACTAACACAGAGGGTTTACAGCTACTATGACCCCCAAAGCCCCCAGCACTTGTCCTAGATGGTGCTGTGGATTTCAGAGGGTCCCCAAGAAGTTCTTCCTGGTCAGGCTCTTTCTACAAGTTCCAGGATTAAGAGAAGAAGCCCCTCCTCTGAGCCCACATCTCCATCGTTCACGAATTCAGGACATCCTCCACACTGGAGTGAGGGATGTTCCAGTGGGGCTATGGGGACTTGCCAGATTCAATGTTGTCGTCAGGTCTCTGTTTGATTTGCAGATGGCTCAGAGAATGAAATGGCTATCAACCAGGCAATGGCTCTACTTTTATTTTTGTGTTCTGGTTAAACACAGCCCACTATAGCCTCAGCTCTGCCAGCTGCTAGGCAACCAGGACAGGGCACAAATGTAGGGTTCCCAACACTGTCCTCTTTATGGAAACCAACTGCTGTGTCTTTCTCCTGTACAGCAGCTGTGGGTTTCAAACCACCAACCTTTCAGTTGACGCCCCAGGGCTTAACCACTGCACTACCCAGGAGCCTTTCCATCCAGACGTACTAGGCGCAATGAAGAGTGTTGTTAATGTTTTATGTGTAAACACATGGGCCCGCTTGTAATGTCATGACTCAACAGCCTCCATTGGCAAGGTCAAGTGTGATACTGTCCTGCTCCCAGCTCCTTTGTCCCCAGAACATCCACAACAGGACTCCCTGCCTTGAGCCTCCTGGCCTAATCTCCTGTCTGTTCTCGGTGTTCATGTCAGGCACCACAAGAGGGCCAGCTCTCTAGGCCACTCCACATCCCTGCCCCTTCATCCTATCTTCTGCCTCTCTCCCTCCCTCCTCTCCCCCACTCCGGAAAACGCTTTCAGGCATCCTTGGAGCGCATGGGCAGTTTTAGGAAACCCACTCTCAGGTTCTCAAACAGTCCTCTGGCGTGGGTTGAAAGCCAGCTGTCCCCTGAGATCACTTCCCCGCCCCGCCTCTTCACTGGTTGCAGCCCTCTCCCCCACAGCCCTGTAATTTTTGAATTGGAGATGGGGTGGGTAGGTCTCCTCACCCCTCCTTGTTGCTTCCAGCCTGCTTCGTCCTCCTCCAGTCCCTGTCCTTTGATCTCCTGTCATTAACCATGCCACAGTGCTCCTGCACACACTGACTGAGTCCCCCTCCTTGTTGCTTCCAGCCTGCTTCCTCCTCCTCCAGTCCCTGTCCTTTGATCTCCTGTCATTAACCATGCCACAGTGCTCCTGCACACACTGACTGAGTCCAGGACCACCCATCCTCTTCCTTGAGGAAAGATGTCCACTCCTTGCTCAAGCCCCACTGCTTCTCTCCTACTTCTGACGACTTTCCTAAGCCCATACAGGGCCCTTCCAAGACCCTGGTCTTGTAACTCTTTGACTTCACTTTCTCTGATGATCTTGCCCTCCCCTCACTCCAGGGCTCATACCCTAGAGTTTGACCTAGAGCCCACTTTGTGACTACCACCTCCTGTCTTTCCCGCTCACTTCCTCCAGTATGAAAACTTCGACCATCACCTGTTAGTAGTACCATCATTTCAGGGTCCCTCCCCAGTGTATGTGTTCCCCTCCCTCCTTCCAAACCCAAACTCACTGCCACTGAGTGGATTCTGACTCACAGTGACACTATAGGACAGTGCAGCACTGTCTCTCTGGGTTTCTGAGTCTGTGGCTCTTTACTGGAGTAGACAGCCTCATCTTTTTCCCTCGGAGCGGCTGGTGGTTTTCAACTGCTGACCTTGTGGTTAGCAGCCCCACGTATAACCCACTAGGCCACCAGGGCTCCCCTTTATGTAGTCCTCATTCCACAATCCAGCCTCATGACCACTCCCTTACGTGGATTCTCAAAGCCTTGGCCTTTCCTTTGACTTCATCATCTTCATCTGGCTAAACCCAATCCACTGTGATCCAGTCCCTTCTGACTCTTAACCACACTCTAAGACGGCCTGTCACATCTTTCTCCCAGAGTGGTAGGTAGCTCAAACCATCTGCCTTTTGGGTAGAAGTCCGTCATTTTAACTATGGAATCAGCAGGGCTTCTTGGCTAAATGCACAGTCCTGATTAAGTCCAACGGTGCCAACTCCTGCATGCACGTGTGCCACTGACCTGGTTGGAGAAAAGTACCCTGTGGAGGGGGCTCACATTAAGTTCAAGGTCACTGACGGCACTCAGGGTGTCCATGCTGCCTGTCAATCACACTCTTCCAAACCCCTGCTCTCCCAGGTGACTACTTCATCATTTCCCTACATTCCCAGCACCTACAGAGGAATCTCAATGGAAAACAGCGCCTGTGGCAAGCACTGAGGTTGTGCCTCCGTCCAAACATCTGACACCCCAGGCCTGGACCCAAGCATCTATTTCACTCAGCTGGAAAGCCCCGTTAGCTTCCTTGACCCTGGAATGATCCCCTGCCCTTCCTGGTTCATGATTTTGACATGTTTGGAGTCCCCAGGCCAGTTCTTTTGTAGACTATCCCTGAACTTGAGTTGATCTGATGATTCCTCATGATGAGATTTGGGCTACATGGTTCTGGTGGGAGCACATGGGAGGGAGGCTGCATCTTAACCGGAGGTGCAGAATATTGGCTTAGGAAGGTCTGATTTCATCACCTGGTGAAGGGGGGAGGGTGCCCTCACCAGGTGCCACTTACCATAAGGTTGCTATCTTTCCCTTTAACATTAATAAACACCCATTTTTCTTTTTTTGAAACAGCCTGATCGAGATATAATTTACAGATCCTAAGTAAAATGCTCTCACTTAAATTGTACAATTCAATGGCTTGTCATATATACGTATATTATTTTTTAGACACACCCTTACCCAGCAGTCTCAAACTCTCTGCAGTGTCATTGTCCAGGACACAATGACCCTCTCATGCTTAAATTCAATGGTCACGTCTTGGTCTTCCTATGTTTTGCCTTCTTTGCAGCAGTGGACATCATGACCTCCCCTCCTCCTCAAAGTTCTTCAATTGGCTCCAGTGAAGTCCGATCTTCTGGTCTCCCTCCTCCCTACATGTGGCCCTTTGTGAGCTCTTTCTCGTCACCCCGCCCACCGACAGTGCAACGGTTCCCCTGCTCCATCCTCGGCCCTCTTCTCTTCTCCACCCACACACATCTCCTTGGTGCTCGAATCCACACTCATAGTTTGACTTCCCGTCTATACAAAGGCAACTCCTCCATTCATACCTCGAGCCAGGTCACTCCTCTGAGACCAAGAATCACAGACCCAGGTGCCTATTCAACATTCCCGCTTGGATGTCAACCAGGCATCTCAACCAGGCGCACTCCAAGCTCAGCCCCTGACCTTTCTTCCAGTCTGCCCTCTCTCGGTTCAGTCTGTTCTACAGTTGACATGGCACGACATGGACACAAAATATGGGTGCCACTCTCGGACCTTCCTTCCCTTCTCTCACATCCCATGTTGAATCTGCAGCAAATCCTGCTAGCAAATTGTGAAGCCATTTTACCATGTCAACTATTCTACCCTGGCCTACCCCAGTGCCCTTTCTTGCTTGGGTAACTGTCACAGCCACTTGATAGGTTTCTCTGTACCCAGCCTTGTTCCTCTTCAGTCTAGTGAAAACCAGGAATCTGAACAAGCCGGTGAAGGTGAGGTTCAGGTGAAGTTCCGCTGCCCATAACCCTTGAGTGTCGCTCCGCACGGAGGACAGAGGTTCCCTGGGGCCTGTGGGGCCAGCTCCCTCAGGCCTCTCTCAGGGCTCTGGTTTCTCTTTCTCCTTCTCTCACTCGCTCACTCACACTACTCTCCCACCCTTGTCCCCGTACTATTCCTAGAAGCTCCTGCTCCTGAGATTCCCGTGTCTGGAACCTGCACGGCTCCCTCAACACCCCTTTAGATCTTCCCTCAACGCCCCCTACTCAGTGACCTACCCTATGGAAATTTGAAAACTGCACCTCCCACTCTAACCTCCACATTCCTACTTCCTGCCTGCTTTAGTTTTTCTCCTTAACTCTTAGGACCACTTAACATCATGTCACACACACACACACACACACACACACACACAGTTATCCAGCTTACTATTCTCTGCCTCTCCAACCCCCATTAAGAAGGAAGCTCCATGAAGAGAGGGGTTTGTACCTCTCCCACTCTCTGTACCCAGGCCTACAAAATAACTGCCCAGTGAGCTCACGGGCGATCTGAAACAGAACTCACCAGGGGGAGGATCTGGAATAGGTGCCAAGTGTACCCGCTGCAGGGCTGTACCGATTTCTTTCTTCAGAAAGGAAGGAATGTAGTTTCCAGGCAGTCCACTAGAGCTCGTAGAGCCGGAACCCACTGATTAGCAAAAGCAAAAACTCATGATTACAAAGACGGGCATGCACGACACAGATAGGGATAAAGGAAGATCGGGGGTGAGAGGGCAGTGATTTCTGGGCAGAGCATTCCTCAGGCCAGCCCGTCAGAAGGACAAGGGGGCTCAGGCAGCACAGCTAAGTGGAGCCCAAGGTTGTTCATGCTGACATTTGTCTCCGTCTTTCAAATAGAAATAGGTGGCCTCTGCTCTGAAATCTGTCCCCCACCCCTACTCTATAATATAGAATACTTATCCCTCCATATCCATGTTTACAAATTCTAGAGTGTGGCTCTTCTTTTATGGGCCAGCATACACCCTGTCTTGATTATTTTGCTACTACAAGTCTACAAGAAATGTGGTTGTCAATAAATCCTCATGCATTATTTTTATAGTCATAAAATTTCCCAGTGTTAAAATACATGAAATAAGTTAATTTTTATGGCATTTCTATGTTCATAGTGTTTTCATAACATGACCTGTAATCTCCGGGTCTTTGTGTTCTAGGACCTTAGTGGACTGCCTTACATATAGTAGGTCATCAATACATATTGGGTGGGTAAATGAATATCGATAGCCCTTGTTAATAAGGTTGAAATGCACACATGGGAAATTGAAGAATGTTATTATTGGCCATTATATAGACAGAAGTTACATCTGTTAGAAAAGAGCTAATAAGATTGGCTCTGTGTCTTCAAACAGGGGGTGTGTGGCAATTCCTTAAGGCAGAGTAGGAGAAGTGGTCAGAAAATTCATGTATGAGGAGTTGGGTCCATCAGCTACAGCATGCTTTGTCTGGTTGGTGAATAAGTACGTAGAAAGAAAAATAGGTCATAAAGTTGAACAGGCACATCACAAACGGGAAAACACTTAGGGTCAATGAACCCCAGGAAAGATGCTCAACCTCATTAGTGAACAGGGCATGCAAGAAGAGGCCATGCCACACCCAGGAGACAGGTTTGCACTCCTGACAGTACCCAGCGGCATGGAGGATCGAGGGTGACTCCCAAACCCTGCTGGAGAGCCATTCGGCAAGATCTGTAAGGTTGGAGATGAGCACACCTTTTAACCCAGAACAGAGACTCCCAGTTATGATACCCAGAGACACGCCCACACATGTGCATGGCTGGAGAACCACAGGTCCATTTCAGCACTCTCTCTGATGGCAAAAAACAAAAACCAACCCACGTGTGTGTCAAGAGGAGAAAAATAAATTCTGGCACAGTATGGAATATACATGGGCGTGTTCACCAGGGTGAACTGGAGACACAGGATTTGAATACATGCAGACCAGACTGTGTGCTGCCTGTATAGCACAAGTAACGAGAAACAGACAAGCCCCAAAGTGGCCAGTGGGGAGGAGGGCAGAGCAGCTAGATTCCGCACTCCCTATCTATCTGTCGAGCTTCACTTATTAAGTTGGGTGGGTGGTGGGCCCAGGGATGCTGATCTAGTGGCTTCCTTTTGCACGTCTGAAAAAAATGAATAAGTGCATAATGCACAAAGGAAGGGAGAGGCTACCTGGTTACTTGTCAACCCCACGTGGACAAAAGGCCACTGAGAGAGGGTTCCATTAGCCCGGGGCAGCAGGAGGTTTGTTGAAAGTACCGTAGATACTCGTGTATAAGCTGAGTTTTTCAGCACATTTTTAATGCAGTTTTTGTGGTGAAATTAGGTGCCTGGGCTGATATTCGGGTCGGGTTATACTCGAGTATATACGGAAAGAACCAGAGGGTCTTCCAGTCCACCTTCTAGTCTGGATGGACTGATGCCCCATGCCCGGGGCCTAGGGCTGAAGGGGAGGAGGAGGACTAGGCAGATGGCGCTTAGAACCACCTCAGAAGGAGCTCTGCCCCACATCTAGCTTGAGGGGTGACCCCAGTGGGAGTGGGCTGGGTCTCTGGGGTCTGCTGCCCAGAGAGAGAAGAGAGGCCCTTGTGGTTCCCCAACTTGTCCCACAACAACATCTCTTTTACCCATCTTGCCGCACCCCGATAATTTGCTTGTGGTCTTTTACAACCGCTCACCTGAATTGATTTTGCTGATGACTGATACCGTCCCTGACGATTTCCCTGACAAACCAGAACTCGACCACGGGTTCGATGGGATAAAATCCTTGCCTGGATTTGGGAGGATGCCATTTCTCATATTTATCCCTAATAGGAAACAAATGGTTTTAAAATGCAAAGTATATGCTCCATCTTGCACCCCAACATCAGAGGGGAAATTAATGCTGAATATCATGAGTCAGAACTTCCTGTTAGGCAACCATCAAAGCAAAGCTGACGGTGCTGCCTTCATCAGTGGGGGCAGGCGCCGGGTTCAGTATCTCGGTTCCGGAGAGAATGCTCCTAAGCAGAAGCCACTGAGTCTGTCCTACCTGCTGACCTGGCTTCACACGCCCACACATGCCTGATCCTGCCCTTTACGGACTGGCTCGTTCCTGTCACTTGTCCACATGGTCCTCCACCCCTCACCTCCCATTCGGATGAGCCCTGGGTTGGAATCAACAACTCCATCAACTAGAACAAGTCTGCCGAGTGAACGCGCCATGGCTTCCACTGCTACCCAAACCCTAACACTCCTCTTTCCCTCTAAACGGGACACTTCCCCTCTGACATCAGCTGTTGGGGTAGGGGGGGGAGCTATTTTTCAGAACAGAAAGAGGGAACCCATCTTTTACCCTTCTCCCGTTCTCCTAGAGCCAATCAGACACCACTCTCCCCTTCACCCCCCACAGCCGCCTGTGTCTGTGGTCACTGTCTTTGCCACTCAAACTGGCATCACTGCCAAGCCCTCCCCCTGGTCCTTCCTCCTCAGGCTGATCTTCCTAAGGCATCAGTGCAGAGCCTGATGGAGTGGTGGCCCTTAGGCACGAGGGGGTGAGTGCATCCCCAGAGCCTACGAGTGCTACTCTCATCTCCTTCCACCCTTGACCCCTCACCCCGATGGCTGTGACAGCTCACTGTCCCTCACCCACTCTATACTAAGAGGTGCACAACACCAGGCACTCCTCCGGTTACCGCTCCTTAAGGGCTTCCCATTGCCCATGAAATTAGATCCACGTTGCTTATGAGACTCCGGATGACAGCGCCCCGGCCCACCTTTCTAACATCGCCTCTTAGACTATACAGGTGGGCGGCTGCTGATTCACAGAAAGTCCAGGGAACTCGGCTTCACAGGATTTCCAAGGGCTGACTTTTCAGAAGTAGACCATCAGGTTTTTCTGCTGAGGCACCTTTGGGTGCCCTGGAACCTCTAACCGTTCAGTTGGCAGCTGAGCCCTTTAACCATCTGCGCCACCTAGGGCATCCTAACACGATGGCACCCTTTTCTCATCGGCCTGTAGCCACGCTGGCTCCTCTGCGGCTCCTCTCAGGGCACCGCCTCCCTGTGCCTGGTGTGCTGTCTCTCAGCGCCCGGCTGAGAGTCACTTTCTCAGAGAGCACTCTCTTGACTGCTCTGTCTGATGCTGTGTCTCCACCTGCCACCCTTTCTGCCCCCGCCCACCATCTACAACACCAATGTTGTCTATCTGCCTAGGTCCGATTCCCCGCCACTGGTGGGAAGCTGCGGGTGAGGGTGCTGTCTGCGGGGATGCTGTGCAAAACCACGTGGCAGCAGAGACTGTGATGTGGCCGGAGGTGCCTAGAGTTGTGCCACCCAGTGGCCCTGCCCTGCTGTTTTGCTTACCAGATTCCCAGTACCAAGCCACAGTGGGTGCTCGGTAAGTCCTTGCCACAGGGACGAATTTGTGAATGAGTGATTGACTGACTGGACTCGGGAATCAGGAGGGGGCCTTGCCAACAACCGATTTTGAACACATCCCCTGGAGGACCCAGCATCGGCGTTGCTGCCTTCCTGAAGCACACCAGTGCAAATTTCTTAGCTTAGGCCACCATGTGAGATAAAAATATGAGGTTTGGGCTTCAGCAACTATTTCCCTGCTGTTCCCACCAGCTCTGAACGGACGCCTGCGCGCTTGCCTTCTGGAACGGAACCTCTGTGCCTGCGGGACAGCAGGGAAACGAGTGGGGCAGAGACAGGGCGTGTCCGTTACCAGGCAAGTATCGGGAGTGCTTCAAGTAGTGCTGCTTGGCCGAGGGTCGCAGGGTGGGCGTGTCTCGCCTCTGGGAGGACATCTGGGTGGGGGCGCTATTTCCTGTACCCATGTGCTCAGAGGGCTTCAGGTCCAAAATGCTCTCAAATCTGAATGGAGGCAAGGTGTGTTAGTTCGGCACTCGAGGGAAAGGAAACACCAGGCCCCTGGGATCACCTCCCGGCTCCCGGCTCCCAGTCAGACACCTGCCTGCACAGCGTGTCGTCGCTCTGCCTCTTCTTGTTCTTCAGGTCGATCCTGGTGAGGGTGGGGCTGAAGTCCAAGTCCTCCAGGTCGGCCCAGTCATCCGAATCCTTTGTTGACCTGGAGACAAGACCCCACCTCCTCCTGCTCTTAGGCTTGATCTCCCCATTCTTGGGCTCCAGGTCCGCTAGGATTTTCTACGGACACCAGGAGAAAGGGGACAAAAGCAGCAAGAGGGGGCATCAGCGGAGCTTCCTCCTGCGTCACGGACCCGTGTCCTCGACACCCTGTTATGCAAGGAGAAGGCAGCCCCGGACCCTGGGGGTCCCTCCTGCGCTGGCAGATTTTCACTGGTTTGCACCCCACGTGGTCTGACACCAGGATTTTTTTTTTTTTCCAAAGTGAGATTTCAGGTACTTTTTACATCCTGGGAGGCCAGCTGGATTCTGCCCCCAGTCTCTCGCTCTCATTCTCTGAAAGCGTGAACTGAGGGACGCCGGCACAGAGAGACGAGACTGCGGCTCAGCTGTCAGGCGTCCTGCTCAAGGCTGAGTGTCCGTTCCTGCCTGCCTACACAGGACTGGATTTGGCCGCAACCACAGAAACAGCTACAAGAGGGAACTCCTGAACACAGCCTCCAAGTGAATGGTCGAGAGGGAACATCCTTATCACTCCTGTCACTGGCTCACGTTGTGCTAGCGAGGCGTCACCAATTCCAACCCGCTCCCACAGAGAAAACTGCCCGTGGCGTGTTCGTGGCCATGAACTTTGTGGAAGCAGACTGCCGGCTCATTCTTTCTTGAGGTTGTTCAGTGGATTTGAACCACTGATGTCAATGGCAGCAGCCGGATGCCTAACCAACAGCATCACACAGTACCCAAGGCTCATGCTAACGAGGATCCCTCCTGGGCTATGTTTCCACTGCCCATACCGAAAGTCAGACTGGGAGGAGACATGCCTGGGCTCAGGAAGAACGGCAATTGCAAGAGTCATCATGGGCAAATGTCCGAACAGCGCTTTATGATTTTCAGAACATTTCCACAAGCACCATGGCCCCTCATCCTCAGGCCCAATCCCGTCGGTGGTCAAGATATGCATGATGATCTTCCTCTAATGGATGAGGAAACCAGGCGCACCAAGGCTCACTTGCTTGCTCACTTACCCCATCCTGGCGGTTCTGACTCACAGGGACCCTGTAGGACAGGGTGGGCTTCCCAGACCGCAACTCTTGATAGAAGCAGAAAGCCTCCGCTTTCCCCTCAGAGCAGCTGGTGGTTTAAAACTGCCGAGCTTGTGGTTAGCAATCCAGTGGGTTACTCACTACACCGCCAAGCCCCGCCGAGTCCAGGGGGCTAATAATCATAACGACTAGCATTTATGCAATGCTAACTAGGTGCCCGCTACGGATCAAAACTACTTTCTAGCATTAACTCATTTAGCCTTCAAATCAATTATAGGAGGTAGGGGCCAATAACACCCTTATTTTCTTTCGTTGTTATTTTTCTAAAA